GGTTCTCTAGAAGCAAAGATGAGTCATGCGTATTTTTTAAAGCTAGTGGGAGTATAGTGACTTTCCTAGTATTGTATGTTGATGACATACTCCTTATATAAAACAACATTCCAACTTTAAAAAAAGTTAAGTCTTGGCTTGGAAAATGTGTCGCTATGAAGGATCTAGGGGAAGCGGCCTATATTCTTGAAATAATGATTCATCGGGACAGAAAGAATCATCTTATTGTTCTTAGCCAGAGTATGTATTTGGATAAAATATTGAAGCATTTTAGTATGGAGAATTCAAAGAAAGGATAATTGCCTATTCATAGTACTATCAAGTCGACTAAGACTCAAATTGCCAGTACTGATGAAGAGATAGCTGACATGAGTCGAGTCCCATATGCTTTGGCTTTAGGATCAATCATGTATGCAATGACATGTACTCGACATGATGTGTCTTATGCTTTAAGCATAATTAGTCGACTTCAGGGAAATCCTAACATAGCCCATTGGATTGCAGTGAAGAATATTCTTAAGTAGCTGTGAAGAACAAAAGACATGTTCCTAGTTCTTGGCGGCAGGGATACATTAAGGTGTTCTTTGTTTTGGAAGTGGTTAAATGTCTTTTGTCTTTTTCCATGTTTGTGGAAGAAGACATGCACTTGAGAAATGTCTACCCGCCAGAAGGGAAAAGTGCTCAAAAAGTACTTTTGTAGAAAAACAAATGAGGCCTAAGAGTGACTGGTTACATTGACTCTAGCTTTCAAATAGAATGAGACAACTTTTGTTCATAGTCTGGCTGGGTGTTCTTATTAAATGGGGGAGCGGTTACTTAGAAAAGTTCCAAGCAATACACCGTTGCTATTTCCACCTATAAGTTAGAGTACATTGCAGCAAGTGAAGCATCGAAGGAAGCAGATTGGTAAAGAACTTTATTAGAGATATTGGAGTTGTTCCAACGATTCAAGAACCAATGGAACTATTTTGTGATAATGAAGGCGCGATTGCATTGACAAAAGAACCAAAGGATCATGGAAGATCCAAACATATCGACATAAAGTACCATTATATTCGACATCGGGTAGAAGAAGGATATCTTCTTGTGAAGAAAGTATCGTTAGAACATAATGTTGCAGATCCTTTCACAAAAGCTTTAAGCAGATTCAAACACTACCAGCATGCTAGGAGCATTAGCCTAAGAGACAACATTAGTTTTAGTAGTTAAGTGATGTTTTGAAACGTATAACAAAATAAATGTAATTGTTTTGGTGAATGATTAATAGAGAATTATTTATGAGTATCGTACTGCCTTATTCAATTATTTATTATTGGGTTTCTTTTTGCATGTTTATACTTCCTGAGTAATTTGAATTATTTTAAACCCACAATCGTTCATACTTTTGGATTTCGGTGGGAGTTGGGATACGTATCTCCATTTGGAGGGTTTAGAATAATAAAAATGCAAGATTGGACCTTAATACTCTTCCATGCAAGAGTTTTGGAACTTTAGATCATGATTTAAGTTAGATTCTAGTGTTGGGCACTTTGTAGCCATGCAAAGTCATAAAGGTTGCAACTTTATGGCTTTAGACGTTCTTTTAGCATTGGATCTGAAGTTTGAACGTTAGGTCTTAAGCCATTAAGACCTTGGTTAAGGATTTCGGATTTTGTGGTTAGGCCAGGCATTTGGGTTAGAACGTTGGGCGTTCGGACGCCAGGCGTTCTCTCAGAAGCCCATTGGATCGATTTTGGGCTTGGATTAGTTGGGTTCTGTGGAGAAAGGGGAAAAATGGACTTTTTCCCTTAATACGATGAAGGATGAGTGGAGCATTGGTATGGGATAAAATGTTAGTTATTAATTGGAGTCATTTCTGGGTTATGTTTAGTGTGAGGAGCAGTGTTCGCAGCAGATCGAGTGTTGATTCAGCTATCTTCTTTTATTGGTGAGTCTCCTCTCAGCGTTTAGTAGGTCGAATGCACCAATGTTGGCCCACGATTTATTATGATTAGGAAGCTAGTTGTCTGTGTGACTCTTGCATGTGTAGTATGTGATATGTATACCGGGTGGGGCTCGATGCCAGGCGGAGCCTAATGAGTGTATTGTATACTATTTGTCTTAGTGATTCTTACATGAGCTTTATGTATCTATATGTATACCGGATGGGGCCTGATGAATGTGATGAGGCGGGGCCCATCTCATATTATTGACATATCTATTCTGAGCGGGGCTCAATGTCGGGCGGTGCCCGATGGTTGTTAGTCATGGCCCATTGTATGTTTGATATGTATGGCATGAGACATTTTGTGGAACTCACTAAGCTTCATGCTTACGGTTTTCAGTTTATGTTCCAGGTACTTCTGGATCGAAGGGGAAGGGCTCAGGATGATCGCATCGCACACACCACGTTGTTCTGTATTTTGTGATTTGATGTACTTGGATGATTAATGACATATTCTGATTTTCTTTTATGGTTTTACAAACACATTTTGGATGATGGTTTTACTATTGTTAAAATGAAATTTTTGGACTTAATGCTTGGGATGTTACACCATCACATGCCAAGTAACGTAATATTAAAATTGCATGGACTTGCAATGTTGACAACTCTATTTTGCTTGTAGTTTACTATTGTTTTCCAAACTATCCGTGTGGTTTTATGGATGTCTAATATTCCTCCCAAAAAGAACTCATTACACATGCTTTCAAGGCGTTTTATCACACCTATAGGGTCCTTGAATAGAAACAATAAATAAGTACAAAGGACGACAATGATAGCCTTACAAAGGTTCAATATATCACCAAAAGAAAAGTTATAGTTACTTTTGGAATTTTTATAATTGTGGGAAACTCAAGTTTCTAGTCATTTTTGCTCCAACCGGCACTCCAAGACAAGAAAGAGGGAGGGAAGCAACGCCGTATTTTAGCCGACAAGTCATGGAGGAGATTTCATTATTATTCAGGTCAAATCTCATTATCTTGTTCTTGGAAATATTGGCTTTGAGATCGGACGCTATATGGAAGCATCTAAGAATATGGATAAGGTTTAGGGCATTGTCTTTCGACAATTCACTAAGGAAAATAGCCTAATCTACCTATTAAAAGATGGAGAGGTGCGAGTCGTTGTTGAAGAGGTTAAATCCTTTCTTCACCTCTCCTATAACATCCGCTCTACAGCCTTTCACCGCTATGATGCAATTGAACGATGATAAGGGATCACCTTGACATACTTCTATCTAAGACTTTATATTATTTAGTTCCATTGACAAGAATGACTACTTTTTGGCCAAGTAAACACATGCTAAAATCTATAAAATTCAGTTCTCACAAATCCATATAAGAGTCATCATATTGTTCAAACATGGGCCAACTAATTTTTTCAAATTTTTTGTTAAAGTCAACTTTGAAGACAAGCATTTTGTTCTTTCTCTTCTTTGCTAAAGTAATAATTTCTTCAACCATGATGGAACTATCGCGGATATTCCCTCCACATATGTCAACGGCAAAGCATTTTAGCTACGGCACGTTGTCGATGTGTCTCACTCGTGTAAACTTTGGGAGGTAAAAATCGACATGTCGTTGAAAGCTAAAAATTTCCAAATATATTTGAAACCCACCAACATCAACATGTCGGTGCATGATCATATATAGCAACCACATTGCATCGTCCCTAAAATCTAAATGGTTTGTCGCTAATAACCAACTTTATTGCGGTGGGAATTTACAAGTTGCATTTCAATGTATCCCAAGGTTCGTAAATTTTATCCACATGATTTTGCTTTTATTTCAATTTGTCTATATTCATGTAACATAGAATGGCATCTTGTAAAAGAAATCCCCATTTGGATAACTCCAACTTTACTTATACCCTCGTGAAAATACATACCAAATGTTCCTTGTTGACATAATGGACCTGAAACCCCTTTATATTCCTTGTGAAGTCATATATCATATGGTTCACCGAGAACAAACATCATCAAGGGTGAATCTTTTTACTTTTGGTATTTAAAAGTAAACATTTGTAATTTAAAATTTAAACTTTATTTTTATGAAATGAAGAGGCGTATGAGAACCCATAAAAGTTGTAAAACCAAAAGTATATAGAGTTATAGACTCATATTCTTTCAAATCTGGAAAAAAGCATAAATTTACTCCACGTTACTAATTTTGAACAGAAATCAAGAAACTCTCAAAAGGGATCATTTTCTTTAGCAAAATGGTAGTTATGTAAATACTCGAGCTGAGTACAAGAATCGAATCACTTGTAATCCCAATCCACATTTTGCCAAGGCACCTTGTAAGCCATAATTCATCTGGATTTTTATTGTTCATCATGGATCGCTATATGCTACCAATGAAATGATAACAAAATTAATAATAAAAGAAATTAATATATATGGAATTGAAAGCAGACAGCCATAGCATTACATGCAATAGATGTTACACCATCCGAAGGAAATGATCTTGCGCTAGAGTTGTTAAGTCTTATCTTATTGACAGTTATTGTACATATCGTCCATTCGTCCTATAAATTACCCAACATTAAGAATGAGTAATAAAAGCATTTTTCTTATAGTTTTTAAATCTTTCTATAGAAAAAGGAATTTTCTAGAAGGCAATTGTAATAATAAAAAACAAAAAACCCCTACTCGGTAACATAAATTTTTGGTAATTGGTTTGACGTTCCACTCCTTGAAAACATGCTTGAAGAATAGGATACGAAGCCGTACACATACACTTGTGCATATATATCGATATCCAAATCTGCTTCCGTAGAAAATATATTCGCAAATAGGCCAACTTCTGCCTGCGTGCCACTGTCAACTTTTCAAAAAAACGAACTCTGGAACCTAATATCACCATCTACACCACCCAAAAACATTCTCTTTTCTCCACAATTCATCCAGAGATATCCCTATATATAACTCCCCATGCTCATCCACAATTCATACAACAGATTAAAGGCAGTGATCACTTCAATCAGTAAAAATTATAACTTTTAGGTTCGTTCTACAGAGATGGATAGACTAAACAGAATCGTTTCGGAGAGGCCTGTGGTGATATTCAGCAAGAGTTCTTGCATCTTGTCCCACACAATCAAGTCTCTCTTCAATGATTTCGGTGTCAACCCAACAGTCTATGAGCTTGATGAGATAGCGAGAGGCCGAGAAATTGAGCAGGCATTGTCTGGGTTCGGATGCAGTACCATGCCAATTGTGTTCATTGGTGGTGAGTTGGTCGGTGGAGCTAATGAGATCATGAGTCTTCAACTCAAAAGCGTTTTGAAGCCAATGCTCATCAGGGCTGGAGCTCTATGGGTTTGATTCGATTTATAATTGCAACAATTAATATTATGTAGGAAATAAAGCAAAGCATACTGTAACTGCAGATAAGTAGAGAATGAAAAAAAGGATTATGTTATAGCTAGATTCATATCCTATGAGATTATATATACCACCAGGCTACTAGTATTAGGTTTAGATCTTATCTCCACTCTTGTCTCATTTTTGTTTGCGACGATACTATGCAATAATAATATATATTTCTACTTTAACGTCCTAAGCTTGTTTTTTTATGCATAATGTTTTATGCGTTTGCTTGGTTGACTGTAGTTTACGTCACACTAACAGGGGAAATCAGGTATTGACATAAAGCAAAATGGTAAAACCGTAAAAGTACTTGTGTTAAATTAATATTATCGACAACCCAAACATCACTGATCAAGCATACACAGTCCAAGCTTGCTGCCTTTTGTCTCCCCACTTCCTTCATCAAGCCCCTGATCCACATAGAAAAATGGGCATGCAGGTCGATTTCGAATCTGTCCCTAATAATGTACCATTAAAGTTAGGTACAGATTTCGATTCCTTCACTGTGTTGTATAAAAGCCAGTTATTTGTTCAGTCACAAATGCCAAGTTTTATGGCTAAAAAGCGTGTCATTACTCATTAAAGTCTCAGGTCATAAATGAATATAAGACACATTTGTATGTCATGTATTTACAACATACATTTACTACAAACTACTTGTATGTCGTAAAATTTTGACATTTTTTTATAAATTTTGCCGATATTTTGTATATCATGATTTTTGACAGATATATATATATATATATATATATATATATATATATATATATATATATATATATATATATATTCAAATTAAATTACATATTTAATATCTTATAATACAAAAGCAAATATCATACAAAAAAAAGACGATCATTTGCACAAAATATAATATGTTAAATACAAATAATCATTATAATGATAAATAAATATAACACATTGCTAATATAGGTTACATAATTTATAAAGTATGTAAGTACGTTAAGAAAGTCTTAATATACATATTTATTCAAATCAAAATACCACCTCTATAATTAAAATCAAACTTGGATGAAATAGTTGAATCAGATTCATTCTCATCTCTTTCAACATCTATGATTCGTTGTTAAAGTCTAATCACTTGCTGGTATTGGAAGTTAAATGATAAAATATATCATATATTTTGATTTGTACCATGTGGCAAGTTTTGGTAGATTGAATAAGGCACTATGATGTGTTCTAAATTATACATATTTTAAAAGATATTCCAAACACTTTATTAGTATTTTCATAATTAAAATAGGACAAAAAATATTTAATTACTTTAGATTTATATTTTACAGCAGAAATGAAAATGTTGATAAAATAAAAGCTAAAAATGGTCATTTGGAATATATTTTCATGAAATATTAGATAAGAAATATATCTTGAACTTAGCAAAGAAGAAATTAAATCGGAACATTATGAAGACAAATATTAAATTTAGGGAATCACGCCGCGAAATAAGTTTGTTCTAAAAATCTATATATAGAGTCATATGTTCGATCTAAAATATAGAAGAGAATAATATCAAGAAAAGTGATGGAAATAATAAGACCGATATATTTTATATTATGAAACAGAATCACTGAAATGGAACAATGATGATTGAACATAAGATGAACTCCATTAATCTCAGCAATAGAACAGTTCGCAAGGAGGAACTATTCTTTCTAGCCGGAAGAGAACGATACAAAAGTTGTTACATAAAAGACAAATAAAGGCGCTATTTAAATAACTAAAAAGATAATGATTATGAAAATGGACATGCCCCATTTTGGAATCAGAACAATACAAAATTTCGGAAACAACTATTTGATACAACATTAAATATGACTTAACAAAAAGAACGGAAGACAGAAGAGGAGGCAAAATAAGCATTATTTGTATCAGTTTGCATTATGTTTAACATTCCATTTTGTAACACCTGTTCCAGGTATTATTTAATTTTATAAGTTTTAGGGTTTTGTGCTAGAACTCGACAAGTTGGGGAGCTCCAACTCGTCGAGTAGGAGTTATTATAAGAACGCGGGACTTCAGATCTACTCGACTAGTCGGAAGGCCCCGAATCGACGAGTAGGCATTGTAAAGAGAAACCCTAATTTTCAGGGGTTTGTACCCAATTTTAAGAACTTATGGCTCATTTGCAGCCTCTTCCATCATTCCTACAGCCAAAGAAACCCTAGTTTGAGCCTTGCAACTTCTTGAGAGAGAGAAAGAGAGCTTTTGAGAGTGATTTTTGGTGTGATTGTGAAGATTTTGGAGCTTGAAGAAGAAGGAGCAAAGAGGGAAGCAGTAGATCTGACATTTACCCTGTATTGGCGACCAAATTGAGGTATAAAGCCACTATCTTGACCTTTAGTCGCTTAGATCTCTTTTATTGGAAGTAAATGGTCAATTTTGTTGCCAAAAGGGTGTCACACTCAGATTTGGACTTGTCACAAGCATATGGTTCCAGATCTGGACATCTCTAGGTCTTCAATGACATAAAGTTGCTCACTTTATCCAGCTTAGGCCCTTCCCATGCACTAAAACCTTGTAGGAATCTTAGTTTTGATCTTTTAGCCTTGTGGGGCCTTGTATGCACGTAAAGTTTGCAACTTTACGTGGTAACTACACTAGGAGAAGTTGGATTTGAAGTTTGGGACCTTGGATCTCACTAGAAAGGACTGAACACAAAAAGGAATGAAGGAACTCGTCGATTCCCTTAGTCGACTCGATGAGTCGGGTAGGGTTTACCCGTTTTCGAGATATTGAATGAGGGCAATAAAGGATTAGAGTTTTTGGGTCTGCATGAGTTTTTGGTCTTTTGGACATTAAGGAACTCGACGAGTTACATAGGTAACTCGGCGAGTTGATGAGTTACCCAGGTGACTCGACGAGCTGTTGGATGCACTCGACGAGTTGAGGTCAACATGGATTGTTGACCTTGACCGTTGACCTTTGACTTTAACCAGGGTTGACTTTGAGGGAATTTATGGTATTTCGGGATTTTGACAAGTTAATCACATGATGATTATAGGCAGTTGCGTTGGAGCAGTGCGTTTGGACTTATTGGATCTTATCTTGTCAGTTCAGCATTCACGAGAGGTGAGTCTCCTCACCATACCAATGGGTCTAAGGCACCAAGGCTGGCCCATTTTGTGATATGTGATACATTAGTTGATGTACAGATATGTGATATGATAGTTAGCTATATTCTAAGTGGCATGCTAGTGTTTATATGATACTTGCAGGGAAGACCATGGGGGGAGCCCATGGCCCTTGGATATAAGACCATGTGGGGGAGCCCATGGCTTGTCGGTTAAAGACCATGGGGGAGCCCATTGCAATTGTATGAAAGACCATGTGGGGGAGCCCATGGCTTGTCAGCTAAAGACTATGGGGGAGCCCATTGCACGTTGGTATAAGACCATGTGGGGGAGCCCATGGCATCCTTATATGTTTGTATGCATGGCTTTTGTGATATATGTAGCTTTTATAGCTAATATGATTATGTGTTTATGTGGATTGTGTGGGGGTATGCTCTGGGGAACTCACTAAGCATTAGCTTACAGTTTGTGGATTTGTTTCAGGTACATCTGAGCCTAAGGGCAAGGGCAAGGCTTGATGACGCGGCATGCACTCTCTCTCAGGCGTTTTTATGGGACACTCTGATGATTTGAAATAATATTGTTATTGTTATGAATTTGAATACAATTGTATTTGAGATTTTATGGTTTATGGAAAGTGTTTTGGCTAATTAAAAATGAAAATTTTCTTTTGAAAAGTGGGTCGTTACAAGTAGGTATCAGAGCCTTGGTTTGAGGGATTCGGGCACACTCTCGGTTGTGTCAGGACTCAAACTAAGGAACTGGTAAAATTGTTTTCAAAAATAAAAGTTAAAAAATTTTAAGAATGGAGAAGAGGAGAGTGCAACGCACGTGATCGACCGAGCCAAATAAGTAGTTCCGCAATATGTTAGCAATGTTATACTGATATTTGAGTTATGATAATCGTATTGATCTGCTATGTGTATGCTTTTAAAATTATATACGGTTAGTTTTGGGTTTTATGTACTATAACACTCCTATGGTGCACATACAACCCTAATGTTTTTGATCTAAGTTTTCTCTAGTTATACATGCAACAAAATATCCAAAGCATGAAACCTATAACTAGCATACAACTTGATATTTGAAACATAAAAAAAAGTTAGACAATTACCTCTTTGTTGTAGCTTGTAGAGTTCTGGCCTTTCAAGAGCTTAGCACCCCAAGTGTGATGCCTCAAACAAGTCACAAACACCATGAACAAGTGGAGGATAATGAGAGAGACGTTTAGGAGCTCAAAATCGGCTAGGCATTAACCTTTGAGTACTAGTGGACGATTTTGCAAGCTTAGGGACCCAATTTATAATTTGGAATCTTTAGGGTTTCATACATAAAACCCTAAAACCTTTGGTAATCCAATGATCCATATGATAAGCCCTTTGTACTAACTCTTCATGGACTTTCACATAGAATTATCCCATCACTAATCAACATGGATCATTAGCCCAAACTATAAATATTACTGATTTACCTAATCAGTCCCTGCAAATTTAATTAGTCTTTTGATCTCTAAATTAATTCTTGATCAATACTAATTAAATAATATGATTCTCAATTAATATATTATTCTTATAATATATTAATAAATCGCAAATAACCTCTTTCTCAAATATCCATCCTATCAAATTGTCCTGGTGAAGGCAACCAGAAATGGATCATGATACTCTCGGGTCAAGTACATACCATCTATAGTTATGGGCTTAGACACCTAATCAAACAGTCTCCCACTTGGATAAGTCTAATAACTATAACTGCAAGTACAACTTGAAGAACCGACTAGCAATCGTAGCTCTCAAAAAGTCGTTGTCGAACTCTGAACAAATCAATGACGCGTCCATTAGATAAGGGATCATATATTCATCC